ATTTTCACTATCAATCAATACAATGTGATGTCATAACATGTGAGAGGCCCAAGTCCTCTTAATGACATGTAGCCCTGGAGGCCAAGGTAGTTCATCCCATAAACTTCATTGACGGAGTTTGTTACTGATTTGTTGATTTGATTTTTTTTAGCTTGAATGGTTAATTTAGGTTGATTATTTTGTTAATTATCAATTCATCATTACTTCTTTATGTTAAATGATAACTTCCTTTATTTACACCAAGGCCATGAAGTTTATTTTACCCTCTTTAAGGCTAACATAATATCCTCATAGGCTTAGGTAACCTAGCAATTATTCTCTGATTTATGTTTGACTTAGCTTATTGATTTAAATTTATTTAATTAGTTGGTTGGATATTTATTAGGAAATTATTTAAGTTAAGTGGTGATTGTCACTGTTTGTATTAGGGATGAAAGATTTATTTCACTTTCCTTGGGGATAACTTAATAGCCACATAAGCCTGAGTTATCCAATAATCACCTTATTATTTAAAAGATTCTATTTATTATTTCATTAAATTTTTTATTTTTGATTAGTATTTTTGTTTATATTTTATTGATTTAGGATTGATTAAGAGTTCATTAATTATATTCCATTAGTTATTTAGTAAATTTTATTCTTAGTAATTCCTCTTTTATTATCATTTGTAGCTAAAGAACTTCAAATAAAAGTTTTATACTAGGTTTGAATAATAGAACTAACTCCCTATCACTTAAAACTAGACATTCAACATAAAAGTAATTTAAAGACTAATCTAACATACTAGAGATCATATTTTATTTCTTTATTTTAATATTTTTAACGTGATTATGGAAATAATATTTTAGGATTAAAATCATTAGAGTTGTGATTTTTAAAGTTTTTTAGGCATTATTTAAACCGTAAGAAAACTTCCTAGTGAGGCCCACTTTATGTGAGAAAATAATTAGACATTGAGGTAAAATTCACTATAGTTATGAAGAAAAATAATACATCTCAAACCCTCCTCTCAATCACTATCTAATTCAAATGTCAATACATAAATGTATGTGCTTGTACGTATAATTTTTTTATGTGATGTTTAATTAACCATATAATCTATATAAAGTTAAGTTACATGAGTGTATATAGGAACCATTTACAACATGTATGTCTTTCAAGCATGTTACATAAAACATTTGAGGACAAGGAATGAATCATACAAGTTAATAATATTTGGAATGAAATACTATTAATCAATGAATATATTTCTTTAATTTATTCAAGGGGCATCACATGAGTAACATGAGCTTATACTTTTTTTTTTTTGAAAGAAATAACAATGATCAATACGAAGAAGAATTTAAAGTGAAGAAGGATAGAAGAGGTTAAGGAAATTAGAAGAGGAAAAGGGAGAATAAATTAGAAGAAGAAAATGGGAGAAGGAATAAATGGAGGAAATGGTGGAGGATAGGAATTGGAACAAGGAAGAGATGGAGGAGAAGAATAATAAGTTGAAGAAGGGTAGAAAGAATAAAATTAGAGTATAAGAAAATTGGAAGGTAGAAGAAGAAAATTAGAAAATGGGAGAAGAATAAATGAAAGAACAAGAAGGGAAAGAAAGAAATGGAGAGGAAGGGAAAGAAATACATAAGAGAAATAAAAAAAAAAAGAAGAAGGGAAAGAAGAATGGTTAGAAAAAGGGAAAGGTAGAAGAAAACCTACATGAAATTGGGGAAGATAAAGGTTAATGAATGGCCACATGCATCGCTCCTTTCTAAATTTCCTGAGTGATGAAAGAAGAGGAGGGGTGCTTTGATTCAATATACCCAACAATCATGATAGATAAAAGATTGAGAGAGGATTTTAATTAATTCCAATAGTTAAATGGAATAGAGAAGAGGGACGGTGCTTAGGGTGTTCATCAAGGTTCATTCGAGTAAGAGATAATGGGAGAGTGGGACCTTGACATTCATTATCTAGTTTGTTGAGATTGATAGATGAAGAGGGGAGAATGACTTTATGTTGATGTTCAACTGGGTTGGTACAAATGAGATACTAAGGGGAGAGATGAAGAGAGCATTCTTTCTTCCATATGAGGCCACCCCAGCTTTTGTTATCCCAAATGAAATTTGCTCTTGATCTACTAAAGATGATCACATGCATGTGCCCAATATAGGGGTTCAAATTATGAATTTTATTAGAAACTTTAATTGCATTTCCATATTTAGGGAAGGATTTAATTTGATTGGAAAGACAATAGGAATTATCTTATAATTAATTTGGGTTAATTATGTTTGTAACTGAGCCAGAAAGACAATAGGAAAAATCAAAACAATTTCATTTGATTTGGGTTCATTTTATTAAAATTAATTTAAGTTAATGAATTTGAACATAAATTGATGCAGATTTGAATTAAATTAGGCTCGATGAGGAAAAATGAGGCTGATCATGCTTGCTTTAGGGGAAAACGTGTGAAAAATGAGGAAAATAAATGAACCTCAAATAGGTGTGGTGAATGATAAGTGAGCCACTTGTGGTGGCATTAACCACCCTAAATCCAAGAAGATATTACTCAGCAATCCAAAGATGAATGCCACTTCTTACCCAACCATAGGTACATATTGGAAAAGTGGGGACAGAGACATAATCGATTATCACTCAATTATCCAACAATCACCTAATCTTGTTATAATCACCCAATCATACCTAAATGGTGGGAGAAAAGGTAGAAATGAGCCCAACATCTACTTGATTATATAAAAATAACTAATGAGTGTAAAAATGTTATTTTTATATGTTCAATTTTCAATTAAATTATTTTGTTTTAGTTATGTTTGTGCAGAAAAAATTATAGGAAATGTCAAAAAAAATTCTAGAATGGTTTAACGCCACAGAGTCGGACACTACACCATCATTGTGCCATCATTGACATCGATAGAGCACCAAATATGGATATGGTGGAGCTCAATCTTTGTTTTTTATTGTCATATCATTAAAGGAGTCAGCGTTGCAAAGCTCAATCTCTGTCAATACAACACCACAGTGCTAATTTCTAATGCTTCAAAGATAAGTGGAGTGCCACTTGGATGCCGCAAAACTGAACCTTTAGAAGTGTTGTAGTGCTATAGTTGTAACCATTCGGGATAGGATATGCTAGCAAATCGATTAGTCTATTTTCTAAACAGCGGGACCATGTCAACAGGTGTCATAGCTATGGAAATCCTTCAATGTTGTGGTGTTAGTTCATTTTTTTATGCACCATGATATAAGTGTCTCTAGCACTGCAATGCCCTAATCTATTTTCAATATTTTTTATTACAAGTCTTTTTGTAACGTTAGTAAGAGAGTTCAATCACTTAATTAATATCAATTTTTATAGTGCTTCTCTATGATTTTCTTAGGATTGATAAATAGCTGAAGTTAAGGAGAACTAGATCCACTTCATAAGAGTGTTTGGTTAATATTTGTGGAAGCAATTCTATAAGTTTAAGAAGTGGTGTAAAGGAGATCATTAAACCCATCCAATGATTTCTTTTATTCTGTGTATTCTTTTTTTTGTGTAATTAATGAAAATGAGTTTACTTCACTTATTCGTAATGTCTAACTAAATTATTAGTTTTGCATTGATGGTGTAAATAGAATATAGAGTACTAATAAAATCTCTTCATTAAAAATTTAATGATGTTTCAATATACCCGATCTTATTTTAATGATATAGTTGTAATATGTGTGTAAATAACAAGTGCAATGTGGAGCTTAAGAATAGTAAAGTAGGCATAACCAGATATATTAGATTGGTGTGATGCAACATAGGCAGAGTGCTTTACATATACCAAATTTTGAAAAATGAATTCTAACAAGCATATTTTAACATTAAATACTTTACTTACTCTTCTAATATTTTCACTGGGTGATAATCTATGAGAGTTTACAGTGGTATTGAGGTTGGAAGGGTTTAATCTGTCATTTTTGTCTTCATGCTTGACTAAGTGGTCAATGTTGTATACTCTAAATAACATCAATATAAATGAGGGTCTTTGGGATATATATTAGTTATATATTTTATCAATCCAAAACATTTTATCAAAATATTATTTCATTTAATTTTTTATTTTAAACATACTCATTGAATCTCTACCAAAACTTATTATTATTACGTAGGATAATTATTGTAATTGTAGTAAGATGTACTAGTGTTTGTAAGTAAACATTTTTCCTCATGGAATTGACACTCTACTCTATCACTATATTAGATGATTCAGCACTTATACTTATGTAAATTATATGGGGTTTTTATAATTTTTATAATTAAAAAAATTTAAGCATTATTTTTTCATTAATAAACACTTAAATTATTTTTCATAACTCTATAGGTTACTCCATCGCCCCCAGTAAGTATTTGGCACTACTGCAATGGAATATTTTATTTTATTTACAATTTTACTATATAATAGAATCAATTGCATAATTAGTCATACTATATTCTTTTATCTTTTATTTTATTTTACTTATTTCACAGTTGTGGTTGCATGTTTAGAAGCCATAGAGGGAATCATTGATAAATTTTTATTCAAGAATTAAGAGAATCCTTTCTAAAATTAGAACCACTAAGTAGATTTTAAAAATGGCTAACCCTATCAATACTTACATTATTCTAGACCTCTTAAAGATTTGGCAAGTCCTATAGAAGGTGGAATTCATCAGAGCATAAATAGACCAACTTTCAAAGCTAATAATTTTATATTAATACATTCATTTGTTAGGATAATGTAAAATTCTCAATTTTGGGGAACTCCAATTGAAGATCCTAACAAATATTTAGCATTTTTTAAAAAAATTTGTGTAATATTTAAGTGCAATGGTATTAGTGATGATGCCATTAGACTTAGATTTCTCCATTTTCTCTAAGGGACTAAGCATAAATGTGGTTAAAATCATTACCCCTAGACACTATTATATCATGGAATGAGTTGGGTCACAAATTTCTACATAATTATTTACCACCATTTGAAATGGCCAGACTTATAAATATATTACTTAATTTACTTTTATTAATGGAGAATTTATTTATGAGAGTTGGAAAAGATTCAAGGAGATGCTTAGAAAGTGCCCTCACCATTCCTTACTTCATCAGTAGATAATTCAAACTTAATTTTTATTTCAGTTGGAGGTTCATTGATTTGAAAGCCTCTTGAGGATGCTTATGAATTATTTGTGGAAATGATAAAAAATAATTTCTAGTGGATTGTTGGTATGGCGAATCCTAAGAGAGTGACATAAGTCTATAAAATGATTCTTTATCCATTTTGACTATTTAAGTTATTACTATCTCTATGAAATTGGATAAATTAAATATTAATATTATTTTTAAGAGATATGTAGTGACGCAACACTACCCCATAGAATTTGAACAAAGATATCATGATAAGAATAGGAGGGAAACCATGGAAAATATTACTTTCCTATTAGAAATCCAAATGAATAACCAATTTAATGCTCTTAAAAAATTTGAAGATCAAATAGTTCTACAAGCTAGGATTACTCTGTTTAAAAACATGGTATAACAATGACATAAAATCTATCTTAGAAGTGGGAAAGGGTTAGGAGATGCTTATAAACAAAAATTCCAACCATATAATAAAGTTGATATAAATGAATAACAAGAAAACATGACCACTTCCCTATAACCTGAACCTGTTAAAGGCCTAAAAAGTTTACAAAGTTTTTTTTGAGAGACCCTGCCCCCCTTTCCTTGAGAGGTAGATAAAAAAAAATCTTATCATACTATTCTTAAAGTTCTTAGAAGGGTTTAAAAAATTAACCATTAATATCTCATTCTCTGAAGCTTTAGAAAAAATGCCCACTTATGCTAAATTCATGTAGGTTATTTTGAATAAGAAAAAGAAGATTTTTTTATTATGAAATAGTGATATTAACTGAAGAATGTAGTGCCATTTTATAAAAGAAAATTCTTGAAGAACCTAAGGATATCAAGAGTTTTGCCATTCCTTTAACTATTAGAAATAAATTATATGGGAGAGCTTTATTTGACTTAGGATATACGATTAAGTTCATATCTCTATTTATCTTTAAGAGGTTAGATATAAGAGAGATTTAATATGCATTTGTTACTCTTCAATTGGCTGATATATCTTTTACTTTACCAAAAGGAGTAAGAAAGGATGTTCTAATCAAGGTTGATAAGTTCATTTTCCCTATTTATTTTATTATTTTAGAAATGGAAGAAGATAAAGATATACCTCACATTTTAGGAAGACATTTATTAGCAACAAGGAAAGTTATGGTTGATGCTTAAAAGGAAAATTAACTATGAGAGTTCAAGACTAGGAGGTGACAATTGATGTACTAAAATTTATAATATCCCCTAAGGAAAGGAATGAAGATTTCTTTAGGGTGGATTTGTAGTATGTATTAGTAGAAGATATTGCAAGAAATTTGTTGTAAGGAGATGTGATTGTGGAAGAAGAGGATGAGCAAGAACTAAATACATCTAATGGGCATATAAAAATATAGTTTAGAGAAGAAAGTTGGATCAAAGGACATTTTGAATTATTAGAAACTTCTTCTTTAAACCAAACTTTGAAACCATCTATTGAAGAAGCCCCAACTTTAGAAATTAAATATTTACCTTGACATCTTTTGCATGCATATTAGGATAAAAATTCAATTGTTCCTATAATCATTTTTCCAAATATAGAATAATATTAAGAGATTGAATTGATTAAGGTGTTAAGTAACTATAAAAAGCTTTTGGGTGTACTATTGCTTACATTAAATGAATTAATCCTTCAATTTGTATGCATTGAACCATAATGGAAGAAAATTTTATACCTAAACCTGATCCTCAAAGAAGACTTAATCCATCCATAAAAGATGATAAAAAGGTGATTCTTAAATGGTTAGATGATTGGAATATCTAACAAATTTCTGATAGTTCTTTGGTTAATCACATTCATCGTGTTCTTAAGAAGGGAGGATTGATTATTATATCCAATGAACAAAATGAATTGATACCCAATATAACGGTCAAAGGTAAGATGATTTGTATTGACTGTTATTTGGAACTAAATAAAGGAACCAGAAAGGATCATTTTCTTTTTCTATTTCTTGATCAAATTCTTGATAGGATGGTAGGGCATCTATTTTACTATATTTTAGATGGATATTCTAATTATCATAAAATTCTTATTATATATGAGGATAAAGATAAGACTACTTTCACCATTCTTTATAGAAGTTTTACATTTAGGAGAATGTCTTCTAGTTTATGTAATAATTTTGCTACTTCTTAAAGATTAATGATGTTTATCTTTTCAAATTTAATTGATAAGAGTATTAAAATATTGATGAATGATTTCTCCATATTTGGCACTACATTTAATTCATGCTTAGAACACTTAATTTCTATTTTAAACAAATGTGCTGAATTTAACTTAGTGCAAAATTGGGAGAAATGTCAATTCATGATAACTAAAAAGACATTGTCGTAGAGTATAAGATATCCATGGAAGTAATGGAAGTAGATATTGCAAAAATGTAGTTGATTGAAAAACTTCCTCCATCCAATTCTTTTAAGGGATTAGAAGCTTCTTAGGATATGCTAGTTTTTATAGAAGATTTATAAAGAATTTCTCTAAAATTTATAATGCTCTATGTTATTTGTTAAAGAAAAATGTTTCTTTTATATTTGACTATTCATGTCATAACGTATTCAATACTCTAAAGCATCATTGGACTAGTGCTTTTGTTATTATTGCTTTTGATTAGTCTTTAGCTTTTTTAGTGATGTGTGATACCAGTGATGTTGTTGACCGTGCAGTTTTATGACAAAATGGAGATATGAAAATCCATGTTATCTTTTATGCTTGGTAAAACTATGAATTTTGCTTAATCTAATTATACAACAACTGAAAAATAATTATTAGTTGTTCTTTTTTTTTTAAACAAGTTCAGATCCTATTTGATTAGGACCAAGGTTATTATTTACCCTAATCATGGTGCCATTAAATATATTATGAGAAAGAAAGACACCAAACAAAGACTAGTTTGGTGGATTCTGTTATAACCAGAATTTGATGTAGAAATTTTTAATAGAAAGGGTACTAAAAATCAAATTGTTGATCATCTATCTAGACATTAACAACATACTTTAGTTGTGTTAAAATTAATAAAAAATTTCAAGAAGAATAATTATCTACTCTCTAGTTGAAAAAATCTTCATGGTGTGCTAATATTTTAAAATTCATTGTAAGTGGAATACTTCCTTTTGAATCATTTGTATCTAAAAAAAGGAAGTTTGTGCGTGATACCAAATATTTGTTTTGAGATGAACCCTATTTATTTAAATATTTTAATGATCAAATCATAAGGATATGTGTTCCTGATAAAGAAATAAATTTCATTATTAGTATGGGGGACTTTTTTAGTGTTAAGAATTTCTTCTAAAATCTTTCAAGCAAAATTTTATCAGCCTACCATATTCAAGGATGTAAAGGATTATATAGAAAGATTATCAATGCCAAAGGATAGGTAATATAAATAAAATAAAATAAATGCCAAAGAATTATGTTTTGTACAAAGAAATATTTGATGGTTTGGGATTAGATTTTATGGGACCTTTTGTGCCATCACTTTGAAACCAATATATTATCATTATTGTGGATTATATTTCCAAATGGATTGAAGGTGCGGAAACTTCTAAAGATGAAGCTCAAATTATGAATAATTTAATAAAGTTTTTTTTTTTAATTTGGGATGCCTAGAGTTTTATTCAGTGATGAAGGAAGTTATTTTTATAATAAAATAATATAAATTATTTTTAAGAATTTAAGGATTTTTGAAAGGATAGCTACTACTTACCATTCCAAATCCAGTAGGTAAGCTTAAATTAGCAATAGGGAACTTAAAAGGATATTGGAATAAACTCTTGGTTCTAGGAAGAAAAATTAGGCAATTAAATTTTATGATGCATTATGGTCCTATAGAGCTACATTTAAAACTCTAGTTAGTGTTGCAGATCAATGGTTTATGATTTTGATGATAGATAACTTTTTTAATTTTCTAGGACTGCCTTATGTACTGACATTTCAGGTTCACACGATCGGACTGCAATTTTGAACCAGCTCAAGTTTGGGTAGACTAGGTTTGAGTCAAATTGTACACTTTTTCCTTTCTTGAGTCTATTATATTTGTTGTGGCTCCTGATGCTTTGTAACGTATAAGAGTTTCTGACTGTTCCCTAGAGTTTACTATTTTTTTTAATATTGTCCTGGATTATATTTATATCGGCCGGGATGATCTGTTCAAAAGCAGAAACCCTAATTAGGGCATCCTCATTAAAGCAACCGTCATTATGCAAAACACATCATCCTGGACGATTTTGTATCAGCCAGGACGATAGGTTCAAAAAAGAAAGAATCTACCGCAAGATTTGTTTAGAAATAACTTATTTTTGGACATCATCCCGGTGGATCATCCTGGACTATAAAATATCATCCCGGACGATCCACAGTAATTTTTCCAAAATTTCTCTGGCAATTTTGGAAAGCAATTAATGGTGATTTCGTCCAGGCCGATCGCAAGATCGTCCGGGATGATTAGACATCATCCAGCTTCATTTCAGGGCGAAATTCAGGATAATTTTTCTCATATTTGAACTAATCATCCAGGACGATATGCCTATTATCCTGGACGATAATGTCTGCAACTTGCATTAATGAGCTCATTTTTAGCTCTTCTATTTAAGCTATGACATGACACTTTGTAAGTGTCTTTGTCCGCCATTGTAGCTTCCGTTCTATAATGGGTGTAAGCTGAAGATGAGAGCTTTGAAAGGGAAGGAGAGGAAAGGGTGGAGTTTGAGAGGGAAAAGATCATGTGAGGGGGAACTCAAGGAGTGTGGAGGGGATTTCCACACGGTTGCTGCCGGCGAACTTGCACCTTAGTACATCAGATTCAAGGCTTGTCTTGAGGTAAGTTCACTAAAAGAAGAAGTCTCCTTGGTGTCAAAGGACCCGGTGAATCCGCCGCAATCCGGGGAAGGTGGAAGTGATTTTTGTAAGGGCTTCCTCCGCCTAGCGTGGGGAATAAAGAGAGACACTTGT